ATTAATCTAAGTGGAATTTTTATTTTTATTGTACTAGCTCTGCCTACCCATGAGCAACTAATATTTTTCCAATTATTTAGATCTGACTTTATTTGCACAAAAAGTGTTTGTAATTGTGTTCAAATAGTTCCTGGGTTTGTCTTGGCAGCTGGACTCTCAAATATTATATATTGTTACTTTAAGTGGAATTTCTCTGTCTCTTGCTGCTGGGTTTTGTTAGCAATATATAGAAATGCCAATTATTTATTTGGATTTATTTTATATCCTGCAACTTTTCTAAAGTTGTTCATTATTTCAAATAGTTTTTTTAGTTGATTCTCTAGGATTCTCTAAGTATGCCATGATATCTGCAAAGAGTGATAACTTTATTTCTTCATTGCCCATTGTAATTCCTTCAATTTCTTTTTCTTTTCTTATTGCTAACATTAACATTTCTAGTACCATATTGAATAACAGTGGTGATAATGGGCATCCTGGTTTCACTCCAGATCTTATTGGAAATTCTTCTAGTTTATTCTCATTACATATAAAGCTTGCTGATGGTTTTAGATAGATGTTACTCATCCCTTGAGAAAAATTCCATTTATTCCTATGCTCTTTAGTATTTTAATAGGAATGGGTGTGGTATTTTATCAGAAGCTTTTTCTGAGTCTATTGAGATAATTATATAATTTCTGTTAATTTTGTTATTGATATTGTTAGTTATGTTGATAGTTTTCCTAATATCAGACTAACCTTGCCTTCCTGGTATAAATCTCACCTGGTCAAAGTGTATTATCCTCATGGCAAGTTGCTATACACTCTGTTAATATTTTTTTTTTAATTTTTACATCTATATTCATTAGGGCAATTGTTCTATAATTTTATTTCTCTGCTTTGTCTCTTCTCTGTTTATTTGAATCATAAAAAGAATTTGGTAGGGCTCTTTCTTCATCTATTTTTCCAAGTAGTTTATATAGTATTAGAATTAGTTGTTCTTTAAATGTTTGATAGAATTATCTTCTAAATCCATCTGGCCCTGGTGATTTTTTCTCAGGAAGTACATGGGTGGTTTATTCAATTTCTTTTTTTCTGAAATGGAGTTAAGTATTTTATTTTCTCTTCTGTTAATCTGTTCAATTTTATTTTTGTAAATATTCATCCATTTCACTTAGATTGTCAGATTTATTGGCATACAGTTGGGCAAAATAACTCCTAATTGTTGTTTTAATTTCCTCTTCATTGGTGGTAAATTAATCCTTTTCATTTTTGATACTGGTAATTTGGTTTTCTTCTTTCATTTTTTTTCTAATCAAATTAACCAGAAGTTTATCTATTTTATTATTTTTTTCCATAAAACCAGTTCTTAGTTTTATTTGTTAGTTCAATAGCTTTCTTACTTTCATTTTTATTAATCTCTCCTTTGTTTTTCAGAATTTCTAATTTGGTATTTAATTGGGGGTTTTTAGTTTGTTCTTTTTCTAGTTTTTTTAGTTGTATGGTCAATTCACTGATTTCCTCTTTCTCTGTTTTATTCATGTAAGCATATGGAGATATGAAATTTCCCCTAAGTACTGCTTTGGCTGCATCCCATAAGTTTTAATGTATTGTCTCATTATTGTCATTCTCTTCGATGAAGTTATTGTTTCTGTGATTTGTTGTTTGACCCAACTCATTCTTTAGGATTAGATTATTTAGCTTCTAATTAATTTTTAGTTTATCTTTCCATAGCTCATTATTACGTGCAATTTTTATTGCATCATGATCTGAAAAGGATGCATTTAATATTTATGCCTTTCTGCATTGGATTGTGATGTTTTTACGCCTTAGCACATGATCAATTTTTTGTAGGAGCCATATACCACCGAGAAAAAGGTATATTCCTTTCTATTTTCTCCAGAGGTCTATTATACCTAACATTTCTAAAATTCTATTCACCTTCTTACTTCTTTCTTGTTTATTTTGTGGTTAGATTTATCTAGTTCAGAGAGGGGGGTGTTCAGGTACCCCACTACTAGAGTTTTACTGTCTATTTCTTCCTGTAACTCACTTAACTTCTTCTCTAAAAATTTGGATGCTATACCACTAGGTACATATATGTTTAGTATTGATATTACTTCATTGTCTGTGGTACCTTTTAGCAAGATGTAGTTTGCTTCCTTATCTCTTTTAATTATTTTTGCTTTTGATTTTCTGAGATCAGGATTGTCACCCCTGCTTTTTTTTTTTTTTAACTTCAGCTGAAGCATATTGTGCTCCAGGCTTTTACTTTTACTCTGTGTGTATCTCTCTGGTTCAAATGTGTTTCCTATCAAGAACATTTTGTAGGATTATGGTTTTTAATCCACTCTGCTATCTGCTTCTGTTTTGTGGGAGAGTTCATCCCATTCACGTTCGCAGTTATGATTTCTAACTGTATCTTTCTCACCATCCTATTTTCCCTCCATTTTATGTTTTTTCTCATCTTTCTCCCTTTCCCTCCTCAACAGTATTTTACTTTGGACCACTGCCTCCCTCAATCTGTCCTCCTTTCTGTTGACCCCCTTTCTTTCCCCTTTCCTCTTTCCTCTACTACTTCTTCCCTCTCTTCTGCCTTCCCTTCTATCCACCCCTTCCCTTTTCTCCCTTTCCTCTCCTACTTTCATATAGGGCAAAATAGATTTCTACACCCAACTGAGTGTGTATGTTATTCCCTCTTTGAGCCTAATCTGATGAAATGAAGGTTCAAATAATGTTTACCTCCCTCATTTCTTTTCCCTTACTGTAATAGGTCTTTGAGCTTCCTCATATGATGTAATTTTCCCTTTTTTGCCTCCCCTTTTCCTCTTTTCCCAGTACAAGTCTTTTTTTAAACCCCTTAAATAATTAATTTTTATCACCATATTAAAGTCAGCTTCTACCCCCATGCTCTATGTATACCCCTTCTTACTGTCATAATAAAGATACAATTCTCAAGAACTACAAGTATCATCTTCCACTACAGGGATGTAAGCAGTTTAACCTTATTGAAAAGCATTTTTTTTTCTCTCCTGTTTATATTTTTAATGCTTCTCTTGAATCTTGTATTTGAAGATCAAATTTTCTGTTCAGCTCTGATTTTTTTCATCAGGAAAATTTCAAAGTCCCTATTTCATTGAATGTCCATCTCCTCCCCTGAAGGAATATGCCATTGTAGAATTTGACTTGATGTGTTAAAATTGTTTAGAGGAGAATGTTGGGAGAATTTTTCTGGAATGCTCCATTTGCTCTGCCTTCCAGGCATTGCCTCTTCCTCTTCCTCTCTTAACTTCTTAGAAATTTTGCTTCTGGGGCAGCTAGGTGGCACAGTGAATAGAGCTCTGGCCTTAGAGTCAGGGGGACCTGAGTTCAAATCCAGCCTCAGACACTTAACATTTACTAGCTGTGTGATCCTGGGCAAGTCACTTAGCCCTGATCACCTCACCAAAAAGCAAAGAAAAAACTTTTTAAAATTCTGCTTCTGATATTATTTTACTGAAACTACTCTCTGTAAAGTTACTAATGATCTAATTTCTAATTACATTGACCTTTTCTCAATCCCCATTCTCCTTCAACTTTTTGCAGACTTTGACATAATTGACCATTCTTCTTTTTGATACTCTCTTCTCTCTAGGTTTTTGGAACCCCACTCTCTCCTCATTCTCCTCCTACCTATCTGACCACATTTTCTCTGTCTCTTTTACTGGATCTTCTTTCAAATGACACCCTCTAATTCCTAAGTGTCCCTCAGGGTTCTGATCTGGATCCTTTTCTATTCTCCTATGCTACTTCACTTTTTGAGCTCATCAGTTCCCATGAATTTACTTACCATTTCTATACCAATGATTATCAAATCTATCTGCCCTGCTCCAAACTCTCTACTGACCTCTAATCTCTCATCTTCAAATGCCTTTCAGACATCTTGAACTGGACATCCAGTTCAACTTAATATAATAAAATCTAACAATGATAATATATAATATATTCAATATAATCAAAACAATTCATTATTATTTCCTATAAACCCCTTCCTCTCTTCCCTATTTCCAGCAACATCATACTCCCAGTCACTCAGATTCACAACCCAGAGTTATACTTGGCTATTCACTATCTCCCTCCTCCTCCACTCTCCCATATCCAATCTTTTGCTAAGGCCTGTCAATTTCATTTATGCAACATTTTTCAAAAATGTTTTCATCTCTCCTCACATGCTGCTCCCACTGTAGTGAAGGACCTTATCACCTCACTTTTGGATTATTATAATAGTCTGCTGGTGGGTGTATCTGCCTCAAGTCTGTCCCCACATCAATTCATTCTTCACTTAGACATGTACTTTAAAGTACAGGTATGATCATGTATCCCCCATCCTCAATAAATTCCAGTGGCTCCCTACTGTCTCCAAGAGCAAATACAAAATACTCTAATTGTCATTCAAAACCCTTCATACCCTAGCTCTCTAATTATTTTTCAGTCTTCTTCCACCCTACTTCTTGTCACTTACACTTTGATCCAGTTTCACTGGTCACTTGGCTGTTCCACAAATAAAACACTCCAGCTCAGCTCCAAGCATTTTCTTGAACTGTTCCCCTTGCCTGGAATGCACACCCTCCTCTGCTCTGACTTCTGACCTCCTTGGCTTCCTTTAAGTCCTAACACAAATCCCATCCTCTACAGGAAGCTTTCCTCAACCCCTTTTAATTTCTTTCCTTTCCTTTGTTTTGCCTTTCCTCTGTTAATTATTTCCTGTTTATCCTCCATATAGCTTGCATTATATAGATTTCATTGCATATTAACTCTCCCATTACATTGTAAGTTCCTTAAGAGCAAGGAATGGGTTTTTTTTTGCCTCTTTATGTAGCCCCACTACTTAGCACAGTGCCTGGCACATAGCAGGTACCAAATAAATGTTTATTGATTGATTGATTAATGCATCTCTTCTTAAATCATATTGATTGTTCTAACGAGTGTTGTATCATCTTTTTTTTTCCACGTACCTCTTTTCTCCTGTCATTTTGAAAAACCAGGTTCAGCAAGGAAAACAAGGAGAGTATTAACCCCTATGTGTACCTTCCCTTTGGTGCTGGTCCCCGAAATTGCATTGGGATGAGATTTGCACTTATGAGTATGAAAGTTGCAACTTGCCGACTCCTGCAGGAATTTTCCTTTAGAACTTGTAAAGAAACACAGGTGAGGATTCACATCTTTTGTTTCAGTACTTAGGATGGTATTTTACTGAGATGATTTTGTTTTCAAAGTAGAGAAATGTCCCATGACACATGGAGAAATTTAATTCAACATGATTTGTGTATTTATTGCGAGCAAGCTATTAAGAGTTAACTTACCATTATTAAAATGGAAATATACAGAAGGCCGAGAGAAATAATTAAAGTATTGTTGGGTATATAATTAATTTGATTTAACTATAATAACAATATGAATAATACAAAATTCTTTGTTGCAAACAATATAGTTTTTGAAGACCAAAGTATAGCAATCACTTTTTAATTCCTTTGTTTTACTAGGAAAAAAAAAACATATGCAGCATTAAAGGTCATGGGAGTGAATAAAATCTCTTAATTTCAGTAAGATTCTTGAATCTACCTTACAACAGATTAGTATTAATAAAACCTAAATATATAGTTAATTCATGTTTATTGATTGATTGTCTATCTTATAACAGTCTCTGAGGTCAAACCTACAATTGGTCTCTATTACAATCATATCAATCTAACACTCCTTTGCATGACATTCTAACTGTGTATAATCTTCTTTTACTTAAGATATTCTTAACATTTGTAGCTACTTCTCTTTCTCTCTATTGTTTGTATTGGATACTTATTGAACTCTAATTGTTTTTCTTAATTGTTTCAGATTCCTCTGAAGATGAGCAATCAGCCACTTCTTACACCAACTGTACCTATTGTCCTGCAGGCTGTCCCAAGGTCCAAGAAGGCCAACTAACATTAGAAGTTCTTCTTTTCATTCTACTCTCGCATATCTACAATCATGCCCCAGATATCTCTTCTATAGTCTAGAGACTCTGAATCCTAGGATTTCAAAAGTAACTTAATGTACCTCATGAACCAAAGAAAAAGGAATTTTTTTTAACCATAGGAGAGGAGTATTTAGATATTTCAGATAGTCTTTTGGAGATCTTTATATTTGGGGGCTATTGTACAATGTTCAGTGGTATCAAGTGTCATATACACTGATCCAGCTGATCATGTTCCCAAAGAAATGATCCCCACCATATTAGTACCACTTGATAATACTAAGCTATAGTGATTCAATGGGTGAACATAGAAAAAACAGTGAATTGAATTTCTATTCATTATTTTTATCAGCAATAGTCCTTGATAATTACAATTGTAGTGAATGTGGTAATATTTGGGGGAGCATATTGCTTATTTTTAATATTCTGCATTTGACCAAAGCATACCATTTTTGATTTCTGTTTTTCAGTTTTTTCTTTGCATTTGTGTCTTCTTTCATAACATAACTAATATCACAATATGTTTTGCATGATTGAACATATATAACCTACATTAAATTGCTTCCTTTCTTTGGCAGAGGGGAGGTGAGGGAAAGAGAAGAAACTCAGTTTTTTTAAATGAATATTAAAAATTGTCTTTACATGTAGTTGGAGAAAAATAAAATATTCTTTATTTAGTATTCATTACTTAACAACGATGCTTCTACAGATCAGTAAAGATTTTTCTGGAAACTTCTTCTTTGATGTCTAGTATACCTTAAAGTCATTTCAATATCACTTAATTGGATGGGCAATTAGTTAATTTTGATTATTTTAATTTTTTACCAATTAACTGATCAGAATACTCATATAAAAGTCCAGTTTGATAGCTCTGGGAAGACAACTAGTTCAGTTAGTTCTTTTTTTTTTTGCATTCCTTCCACAAACATTTGAAGGTAAACCCTGACAAAAGACTTGGGCTCACATAGATTGAGTTCAGTATTAAGAATTCCTCACAAGTCATTGTCTTTCGGTTGTGTCCCCAATTAGGGTTTCACCCATGAATATCAGAATTTATCTCCTTTCTTGTTCTCTATGCAAATGGTAAAAGGATCTTCAGTTTCCACCTGAATATTTATGCTAACAATTTATCAAATATGAACAAGTTTTCTTTCAGGTGACAAAAACTGGTAAGAAAAAAAAAACCTTTTATACCTAAGCTTGTAAACAGTCAAAACAACTCTTCTTACATTAGCCTCTATTTCACCCAAGAATACTGTGTGGTTGAGGTACAACTAAAACAGGAAAACATTTGGAGCCACTAGAAAGCCACTCCTTAACAAAATTCATTCTTCTTGACATGTTCTTTCTGTCTAAGTCAAGTTCAATGGAATTCTGATATTTTAAATTTCCCCCCAATAAATGTTAAGTCCTTGGCCTATTTAAAAAGGGTTCTTGAATGTTTGAAAGAAAAGTCAATGATGGATTATTAAATGGTTCTGGTGGAAAGACTAAATGTTCTTCCAGTTGGAACATTGTAAGATATTTGATTCTTTTTTCACCATCTCCAATCAGTTACCAATTTTTCTTTTGTAATGTTTCTTGTATTTGTTTAGTCATTGCCATTCTATTTGTAAACCTACATTCTAGTGTAAACCTACATTATCTCATCCCTGCACTGCTGCCATGCTGGAGTAGGTTTGTAACTGATGTCCCTTCCTTGAACCTCTCTCTACATGAATCCGTCTCCTGGATGCATAACAGATTGTTCTTCCTAAAACGTTACTTTCAAAAGACCATTCTCCTAGTTAAATTTTCCATTGTTATTTTTTTATTCTCATTTGTTAAACACAAACTCCTGGTATTTCATGTACATTTCTATCACCAAAAAATAACCTTAAACATATTTTGTCAAAGTAAATTTTAGTGATGTGTAAAGATGAAATCATATTTGGCAGTTAGGGGGCATAAGGGATAGAGCACTTGATTTAGAATGAAGAAGACTCATTTTCATGAGTTTAAATCTGGCCTCAAGCCTCACTAGCTATGTGACCTTGGGCAAGCCACTTAACCCTCGTTGCCTCAGTTCCTAATCTGTAAAATGGGCTGAGAAGGAAATGACAAATTACTCTGGTATCCTTGCCAAGAAAACCCCAAATGGAGTCATGAAGATTTAGACACAAATGTAACAACTCAATGTCAACAAAAAAGGTTAAATCAATATTGTTGTCAACTAAATAGACCTATAGCCTTTGTGACAATTTGCAAGTCATTTAACCATTCTTGCCTCATTTTTATCTTCTATAAAATAGAGATAGTACTTGTTTTTACCCTAACTCTTACAGTTATTGTTAGGAAAGCATCTTTTAAGTTTTAAAATGCTAAATAAACATGAGTTATAATGATGATCACAATAAAATATTCTTCATGTCCAAGAACTAAATAAAATAAAGGCTTCTATGTATACAATCCCTCGATATTCCCTTGCTTGTTTCTACTTTGACCACATATACACTATTCTCCTAATTGGGAATGATCATTCATCATTTCCTTGCTATCCCAATCATGACATTCTTCTAGGTTTACCCTAAGTCCTTCCTTGTTCATTGAAGCCCAAGTTATCATTGTCTTCATATAGGACCAATGAGATCTTCCATTCATTTGGCCTGCACTGCCTTTTGTTTTAGTTATTTTTTTTAATTTATAAATGTCTTTTTTCATAAGGCAACTATAAGCTCCTCAAAAGAAAAGACCATATAGTATTTTTCATTTAAATCATCCACTATGTCTACCTTGCTATCATATTCTCAGTTGACTTTCAAAAATTGTCACCTGTTCTGGGAACCAAGATTGTGGAGTAACCAGTAATTGCCATAATTCTCCCATATTCATCTCCAAACAACCACAAAATAGTACTACAAAATAAATTCTAGAACAGCAGAACCAACAAAAAGACAGGGTAAAACAATCTTTTAGCCAAGAAACTTGGAAGGTTGGCAAGAAAGGTCCATCTCACTTGGATAAAAGAGGAGTGCATTACAGGACAGGAAGCATCCCAGCAAACCAGCAGCAAGCCCCCCCTCAGCAAATCAGCAGGAGATCCTGAGTACCAGTGTGGTGAAGAAGGCTAATGCCAACACCAGTAATCTCTACCTGCCTTAGCATAGCTGGGGAAATCAGTAGATTCCAGGTCAGAGAACCTCAACATGTTTCAATGTAGCCCTGGAGCAAACAGGTATGCTCCAGCATGACAAGAAAAGAGGCCAGACCTCCATGTGCTTCGGCATACGTTTGGGAAAACAGGCATTCTCCAGAGACCAGACCTCCACATGCTTTAGTGTAGCCCTAGAGAAACGTAGAAACACCCCACCTTGCCTCAGCACGTGCCAGACACTATTTCTAGGACCCCCAGCTCAGCACCAGGTAACCTTCCAGACTCCTACACCCTCCAGAAGTGCAATTAAGGGAAGTGGAAGAAGGGAGAAAAATTTGGAACTCAAAATCTTATAAAATGGATTCTAAAGATTTTCTTGACATGTATCTGGAGAAAACATAAAATACTATTAAACTAAACAAAAGAATAATATCAGGTCTTAATGGTTTGCAGGAAAGATCAATGATAGGCTCTAAAATAGGGCTGGTAGAAAGACTAGATGTCCATCCACCTTGAACATTCTAAGATGTTTAGAATATCTCCCATATCTAACGATTTCTCAGGTCATCTCAATTTTTATTTTGTAATGTTTATTTGCATAGTCATTGCCATTCTACTTGACCATTCTAGTGAAAGTCCAAATCATCTAATTGCTGTAAAACTGCAGTACTGCAGTAGCTTTTTCACTGGCCTCTCTGCCTTGAATCTCTCCCTAGATGAGTCCATCTTCTGCACCCGCATCAGATTAACCTTTTTAAAATTCTACTTTCATAACAATACTCTTCTAGTCAAATTTTCCATTGTTTTTTCGTTGTCTTCAGAGTTGAATACAAATTCTTAGCATTTTGTATGCTCCAAAAATGGTCCTAAAATTTTGCACAAAATAAATACTAATTCAGCATAAAGGAGTATTGAAAGCAGTTGACAGATATATATGGGTCCATGTGCTTTATGACCATTGGCAAGTTATTTGACAATTGTTGCCTCAGTTTTCTTGTCTTTAAAATGGGGAAAATACTTATTATGCCCTCTTAACATTGTTATGAAGAAAGCACTTTTAAGACTTATTGTGCCAAATAAACATGATTTGTCATTATTATAGTAATAAAATATTCTCTATATCTAGTGAGAACTGAATAAAATCATTCTGTTATGTATTTTATCTCTTAAGATCACCTTGTTGGTTCCTATGTTCATGCTACTCTAATTGAGCATGATCTGACTAATCTCTCCAAATGCTGCCATTCTTCCAAGTCTATCTCAAGTCCTTCCATGTTTTTTGGGATCCCCCAAAACACACATGTGAGATCACGTGGGAGGTCCAGTGATCTCTGACTTTGTATAGCACTCATGCTTCATTCTGTGAATTTGTCCTGCATTGCCTTTTGTTAGTTAGGTTCTTATTAAAGCTTATAAATGTTTATTTGTTTTCCTAATGAGACTGTAAGCTTCTAAAGACAAAAACTTCATCTTATTTTTCACTTAAATCCTCTACTATGTCTATTTTAGTATAATATACTCAGTAAGTTTTCAAAAATCATTGCTAATTGATAAATATAAATGTACCACTACTGCTGAAAACATACTACAATTACACATCTCATTTACATGGGACAGTGGTTTCAGGGTTATACATGAAGGACAATACATTATCTTTCTGCAAGTCTCAATCAATAAATCAAATCATCTCAGTATAGGGGAATGTTTTAAGCAGTGTTTCACAAATGTGAATTCCATGTCATGGGAGAAGGGGAAAGCAATTCAATATTAAGAAAACAGCTAACAATCAATATTATTTTAAAAAGAAAACCAAACCACACAATTATATCAATAGGTTTAGAAAAAAAATCCATGATAACATGCAAGTCTCATTTATGCTAAAAAACAAACAAACCTAAAGAATATATTCATTGAAGGGCATTTTAATATTACAAAATGTGTATATTTGAAGCCAAATGCTAACATTATTTGCAACAAAGAAATACTAAAATGTTTCTAAAAATGAATGGGTAAATCAAAGATGCTTATTATTACTAACTTAGATTTTAAAATTCTATCAATAATCATAAGCAAAAAGTAAAGGAAATTAAAGGTGAAACATTGGCAAAGAGAAGATACAATTATCTCCACTTTTAGATGGCATCATAGTTTACTTAGACAATCCCAGATAATTAGACAGGAAACTAAAGATACTATCTTGATTAAAGTAATAAGTTACAAAATAAATCCACAGGGGTGTCTCCCTTAAGGAGCACATACCTAAAAGAGAGGCTGTCTCTCTTAAGGAGCTGCCCTCCTTAACCTGGGGTGTACCTTAAGCTGGGTCTCCCTTAAGGGACAACCCCCCCTAA